GTTGGGAGCATGGTACCTAGGAAGCAGAGGGACTCCACTCTTCAGGGAAAAATATCTATACCCAAAAGGAACGCCCCCAATGACCCAACTCCTCCAACCACAGCCTACTTGCCTACAGTTACCACCAGTTAATTCCTATGAGAGAATTAATGTACTTATTAGGTTAAGACTCTTATAACACAATCATTTGCCTCTAAGTTTTATTGTATTGACTCACACATGAGCTTTTGGGGGACACCTTATATCTAAAACATTACACTGTTATACTGTCAATCAGTGTTTAAAAATCAATGTATATGTCAGAAACAGAAAGAAAAGTAATAAATCCTTAGAACAGATTTTTTTAACATTTCTAAGAGTTTTCTATGGCATTGAAGGTTTATGATATGACATGTTTATAATAAAAATGTTTCACAGTTCAGAAAAACTCCTACCACTTGCATGCCTTAAAAAATCATGTCACACTGCATTGCATAAAACATTTTATATATCCAATTTGTTTTCAAATCTAGTATGTGTTCTTGGCTTTGATGCTGATACCAGCATCTCATCACCTGGTGGTCTCTATTCATGTGATGACTGTAGAAAGCTCCTTAATACTCAGGAAACTGTTATTAAGTCTACCAACATTCCTCCAGAAATGTTGAAGCACTTTTTTCTTTAGGCCAGTATTGCCTGTTTATTTTACTGATATTGCATTTACAGGTCCTACTATAATGTTATACTGAAAGAATAATTAGAACATGGGTAAACCATAAACTAAGTAAAAGAGATTATAACTTCAAAGATACATTTTAGAAAGGGAAAACAAATATTCAATATGCTCATTTGTATTCTGTGAACTCTATATCTAAAAAAAAAAATTCACTAGGATACATTGTAAAATTTGTGCCAGGTTAAAAACTGTCAAAAAAATAGTTGTAGACATGCGGAAATGTTGAGTTAAAATAAGCAAAACAAAAAGTGTGAGCATATCTCTTCTTATTGTTATCAGAGTATTACACACTGATTTTAGCATTTCACTTTTTTAATATTTATTTTATGTAGTTGTAGTTGGACACAATAACTTTCTTTTATTTATTTATTTATTTTTACGTGGTGCTGAGGATCAAACCCAGGGCCTTCCACGTGCGAGGCAAGCACTCTTCTGCTGAGCCATAACCCCAGCCCCAGCTGTTTTATTTTTGTAGAGAGGTTCATCACAGTGTTTTCTTTTGTAGTGTCCGATCTCATTTTTATGTTTGTAAATCCATTTGGACTTGTTTTTTTGTAACTGTTGAGAGACAAGTCTCCAGTTTCATTCTTCTTATAAAGATATCTAATTTTCCCATTATTGAAAAGACTGTTCTTTCTCTGGTACCCATTCTTAGTACCTTTTTTGAAAACTTGTTGGCTGTGGATGTTTGGGTTGTCTTGTAGGCTATCTATTTTATGCCTTTGGTCTACATGTTTGCATATATGACAAGACTTTGTTGTTTTGACTATTACAGATTTGTAGTGCATATTAAAGTTAATGGCCCCTGTTCTTATCTTTATGCTCAATATTGCTTTGACTGTTTAGGGATTTGTGGTTTCAAATAAATTTTAGTACTTTTTTTTTTAGTTTTGTGAAGAATGTCATTATTATTTTGATAGAGATTGCATTGAAACTCTAGACTACTTTGAGCAGTATGAACATTTTAACAATATTGATTCTTCCAATCCATTTACATGGTATCTCCTGTTTTTTTGTTTTTGTTTTTTTGTTGTCTTCTTTCATTTCTGACATTAATGTTTTAGTTTTGTTGTTGAGGTCTTTTACTTCTTTGGAGGAGTTTTAGGTTTTACTAAAAAGTTCAGCAAAAGATATGGAGGTTTCTGGAATACCTCCTGCTTCCACTTATGAATAACTTCCTTCATTATTGGCATCTCCTTCCAAAGTGGTACATGTGTTAACAATTGATAAGCCTGCAGTTATATATCATTACCATCCAAAGTGCATAATTTATATTAGGATTCCTAGTTGGTGTTGTACATTATATGGGTTTGGAAATATTCATAATGACATTTATCCATCATTATAATATCATGCAGAAAAATTTCATTGCACTAAAATTCTCTTGCGTTTTACCCATTCATCTTTACCTTCCCCTTAACCCTTGACAATCACAGATACTTTTACTGTTGCAATAGATTTGGTTCTTTCTGAAATAATGTTGTAAATGGAGACTATGTAGGCATTCATGATTAACTTCTTTCATTTAGAAATATGCAGTAAGGTTAAATGCATTTAAGTCTCCTACATGTCTTTTCATGGCTTGACAGCTCTTTTCTTTGCAGCCCTGAATCGCCTTCTATTGACTGTATGTTGCCACTATTTATTCACCCATTTAGTTACCTACAGACCTTTGGTTGATTCCCAATTGGGACAATTATGAAAAAGCTGCTATAAACAGCCTGTGTATGTTTTGTGTGGATCTAAGTTTTAAACTTGCTTTTGTTTTAAAGCAAACACCAAGGAGCATGACTGCTGGTGAGAGCAGGTATGGTTTTGTAAACAGCTGCCAGACTGTCTTCCAAAGTGGAATACCATTTTGCATTCCCAACAGCAGTGAATGAGAGTGGCATCTGCTCCCTATCTTCACTAAGTCATTGTTGGCAGTGTTCTGATCGTGGCCAGTCTCAAAGGTCTGTGGTGACAGTGGTAATTTATTGTTGTTTAGATGTATTAAATTTCAAGTAAATATTATAGAACTACTTACGAACATTGATACCAAAGAACAATAAAGTTAACAATAATCTCTCTTTCTTTTTAAATATCTCTTTTTGCTTTCTCTCACATGTTGTTAAATCTCCAAAACAAAATAAAAAAAAATCTCCAAAATAACCATATTTATTTCAAATTAACTAAACTTCCAGCTTACTCTCTAGATATCTGGGGTATAACTGCAACTTAGTGGAATAGTCATTGTGTTAGTAAGCCATCAGCATGGCCAATATTTAGATAATATTTATAAATAAATCTTGATAAAATTATTATCCTATAGTCTGATCACATTCATAATAACAATTTATCTTAAAATTTGAATAAATACATATAATTTTACATTGATATCAAATATTGAAAAATTTATTGTCTTCACATGAGATTATTTAACAAACTTTTGAACTGGGCTATAATTGGGTCTCTTAATTTTTGCCAGAAAATATTCATTTTCAACACTAAAACTTCAATATTCTCTCATTGCTCATATTCTGTATCACTCCCAATCTAACACACTCAAAAAAATATTAATCAGTGTGCAAAAAGCTTCACTTGTATATTTTTTCCTTCTTATTTGTCAAAACTAATATCAGTAAGGGTTAAATCCGTAAATGTAATGGTATGGTCCTACTTTTAATAAATGTAGTATAATAGCTTCCACTTGTTGCTACTTTCCGTTTTTTTTTTTTTAATTTTGTTTTGTTTTGTTTTGTTTTTAAGAAACTCAATATTATGTCACCTTTCAGCTCCACTTTAAATCTGTACCTCCTCCCTCCTTAGCTCTTCTCAACTCTCAGTACATGCTGCCTTTGCCTGGCCGGCTCTTCAGTCTTGACTGTTCCTGTCTTCCATTCTTCATACTCTTTCTCTTAGGAGTAATAGAAATGAAGCCAATACACTTGGTAGGTTTTAATGTGAGTCTTCATACTCCTGATCTCAAACAAAGTCATGTTATTGAAATTTGTTGAGACCCTCTATGAAGATTTGTTTGTTTGTTTCTGTGGCTCTTATCTGGCAGAATCCACAAGATTAGAATTTAAAACTAACAGTTTTCAAAAACATTTTCATTGCATGTGAATATAAATAGTCTATTATGAAAAATAATAACTTTTAAAACGAAGTGGTGAGGTGAGCAGCTTTGTTTTACAGCCTGCCAATCTTCGATGTCAGCCTTAATAGAAGACAGATGGGTTTTCACCCATGCTGCTGTGTTCAGTCTGTTGTGATATTATATATCACATAGCCTTTGGAAATATCTACTGCATTCTTGAGAGAGAACAGGAGTGAAAAGGCAAGTAAAGACTTATTATTATTAGAAAGCCTCTTTTGACCTTGTGGACCCCTTGAAAAATTATGGAAATCTCTAGAAGTCCTTTGACCACACTTGGAGAACCACTGCTGTTCAAGGGTGTTCTCCTGAGCATTCAATATGTTTTATGCTTATCTCTCAACTCCACATCTCTTAAAACCAGTTGCTTGTGAATTTTTATATTCAGTACTACCTTAATGGATTGTTGATGCTTCCAAGGTCGAAGTGTGGTATTAGAGATATCTCTAACTTTGCAAGTGTTATTCCCACTGCTAAAGAAGTCTTTATTTGCCTTTCAAGCTTTGCTCAAATGTCACCTTCTCTGTGACACATTAATCACTCACTTGTCTTCCTTTTTATGTTCTTCACACATACTTTCATTATTTTTTTACAACCAAGCAGGTATTAATTACAGGCTACAAACCAAGATGTGTACAAAATACTACTTCATTTTCTTACATCAAACTTATTTTTATTGTCACCCTTAGCTTTGTAAGTTCACAGGAAATTCCATCTCAAGCACATTAGGGTCTCCTTCTTCCACCTAATTTCCCTCCAGAAATTGAAAGGGTTCCTTGGTGCCAGGGAAGGGGACTTGAGTTTCTGATAACAGTTTCCTCTGATGCTTTACCCACGCCTGTTCTCAGTGCCTGATCTCATAAGTGGGCTGGCTTTTTCTAGCTACTCTCATGACATGCTTGAGGTATCAGGTATCTGCTGAGGCTGGGGACACACCTGGCCACACAGGCATTCTTCTTAGATGTCTTGGGGGCAGGCCCTCTCTTGTTACTGTTTGGGTTCATTATTTAGGGGGAATTGCAGTGTGTCTCTTGCTTTTTCAAGACCTTCATCATTTTTCAACCAAAAACTATTTTGCTTAGTGGCTCTAGGATCCACAAAAAACTGTATTCAGAATTATAGCAAGTTTTTTTTCTCATTTTTTCCTAGCTGTGTAACTATCCTAAATATATGACATATGGGACTCGCTACTTACTTGAAAGCAGAAAAATGGTAAGGATCTGGCAGAGGGAAAATATAATAATGATTAACATACTAAAACATGTCTGCCCATATATGTATTGAGCATGCCTGTTTTATTTATTGGACTGCATCTTTTAACCCATCTCCTCAATGTGTACACAAACATGGATGCATACTCTAATGCTAGATGTGAAGGCCTTGATGTAGGCAGATTCTAGTACCAAGCATGAAGACCAGCATATAACGGGCCCTCTAAAAGTGTTTCTTATGGCAATCTAAAAAAAAATATATATATATATATATGTCTGAGGTTTTTAACTATCCATGATTGTTTGTATCTTAATTATTTTTTTTAAAGAATTTGTCTTCTTTAGTATTTGAAATGAGAAACTGAAGAATTAAAATCCCATATATACCATTCCTAACTATAAATTATTGATATTCTTCTCTAAGGATTTTAATATACTCAACAAGTTCTTAATATACTAAGGCCATTTACTGAATATCAATGCATGGCATCTTCCTTATTAAGGCACTGAAAGGAATAATAAGTTCATTTGTGCCCTAGAACTGTTTATAAACCTAAATTTCTTTTCCAGGGCAAGAAAACTATAGCAATGTAGCATACTGAAGTATGCACACTAATTTTCCACTACAATGTCTTGTGAGCATTAAATGAAATGTTTAAATAGCAAGTAGAGTCTGCCATGGGTGTTCCCTGCTGTTCCATAGACGGCAGCCACCGACTCTGCTTTTTCATTTCCCTCTGTCTGTAGACCTTGTGGGTCTAGAACACAGTGAATGACCATCTGGCTGTGAGGAGTACATTTCCTCTGTTTCCAATAAATCCATGATAAATTCTCTCTTGGAACTGTTCATTATTTAATTTTTAGTCCTAGACTTCAAGAATTAACGTTTCAATTTAGAAAAAAAAATTTGATTTGTAATAATAAATAGGATCTTTATAACTTTATTTTTTATCATATTTGGAATCCTTATTAAAAATAATCAGGACTGGGGTTGTGGCTCAGTGGTAGAGCACTTGTCTAGCATGTCTGAGGCCCTGGGTTCAAACCTCAGCACCACAGAAAAATAAATAAATAATATAAAGTAAAATAAAAATTGTGTCCATGTACAGCTGAAAATATTTTTTTAAAGAATAAAAAAATAAAAATAATCATTTCTCCTGATAGCAAAATGAACCCTCATTGTTTGTAAGCATGATTATATTAAGTATGTGATAGCATTCTCTTTTCTCTGAAATTGATTATGTACTTTTCTTTTTGAGATGGTTACAAAGATAGTGAGCTTTCCCTCTATATTTTTCATGCTGAGTGATAGTTCTTTCAGTTTCAAGATTTGCACAGTGATAAGTATCACTGAAATTCTGAGATTTATCTATTTACATTCACTGTTAACTTACCTAACTTAGTTCATCTAAGATTGTGTGCAGGTCAACTTTGACAAGTAATTTAGAAAGTTGTCATGCTTGACATGAGAGATTCTGTAATCATGGATTTTACACTCTATTAATTTTGTCAACTGGCTGTTTTCTGACATTCTAAAATAAATGTGAGCTGTATTTACTATTATTCAAAAGACAGATCTCTCAACTACTGCGAATGAAAAATATTTCACTGGCTAGTGAGGATCTTTAACACAAATATTATATTCAGAAAGTTTAGTGGGATGATCTTTATAATCTCTGCCAATTTTATGTAATTGGAACCTCCTTTGGACATATTAAACATGACTGCTGTGTTGCTTCTTGGCTGAAAACAGGAAGAACAAAAAAATTAAAACTTCAAATCTAGTGATTTTAGTCTGCCTTTATTTCCAGAGGTTGCAAAGTCAGAGCAGTTTAGGAGACAAGCCTCCTTCATCCTACCTCCTAGATTAGAGAGCCTCTTCAATGAGTCTTTAAAAAGAAGCCCTCTTCCAAAATACAACTTCTCTACCAAAGCTGTTCAAGGAAGTTAAACTAGTTTGCAAGAAAGTGAGAGCAGCAGTTCATTAATTAAATCAGCATCTAACAGGAGTTAAGAATGAGTTCTTGGTAACCAGATGGCCTGGGTTTATCATCTTGTCTTTACAGCAGGACCTTGTTCAAATTGCTTTACTTCCATATGCTTCCTCAAGTGTAAAGTGGGGATAAAATGATACTCCCTCACCAGGCTGTTCTCAGTGAATGTGGTTTTATTTATTATTTATAAAACAGTAGGAATTACTGTGTTGGCATGCATGATAAACACTCTACGAGAGATAATTACATATAAATAAAGTCATTCATTGCTAAGATGTGCCAAGTATGGAGTTTCCAGGAACAAGAATGACAGGCGTGGACTTTTTTCTTGTGGCGATTACAGCATGTGGCAGCAGGGGATTAGTGCATGTGAGTAAGTCAGGAAAGGGGGCGTCACTGGACTCTGCAAGTGGGTCAGCTTTAATTGCTTCTTGTTCCCTGGAGTCTCCTTGTTTACTCCACAGGCCTTGTTGATCTGGCCTCTGACATTAGCAGCATTTCATTTTTCCTGCTCTAAACAGGAAGTGATTCCATTGCAGAATTCCTCACAGGAGAGCTGCTGTAAGTCACTTCATATGTGACCTTGCTAACCTCCTCAGTACATTCAATGAGGCCTGCATAAATGAAAACTCCCAGCCCTTACATCTTTCTTCCCCATGATCCTATTAATTGTTGTGTTCTTTATTAATTTATCACCCCCATCCTTGTACATGGAAGCCTTGTAGAATATTAGGGTACGTCCTTCTCTTCTTATTCTCTGTTCATTCTGTAGGACTTAGAACAGGTGCATTCTAGTACCTAGAAGAGGTCTTAGTATTTGGAGGCACTTAATAAATAATTAAGGAACAAATGAACAAATTAATTAATATTCAATGCTGTGAATATTCAATGTTGGATAGATTTCCAGAAATTTGAATTACTTTGTCTAAATTTACAGATATTTTAATTTTATGATGTACTACCTAATTATCTTTAAAATGGATTTTACTAGTGGACACTCTCATCAAAGATGTATGAGAGTGCACATTTCCATAAATTCTTCTCAATATGTGACCTTAGTTGTATTGTTAGTCGATATGTGAAAAGAATCCTTATTGATTTAATTTGCATTTCCTAGATATTGGTAAGTTTGAGCACCAGATCTTTAAATACATACTGGCTCTTCATGATCCTATTTTCTGTGAAGAGGGTATTCACACATTTTGATCATTTTCCCATTTTATAAAAATTATTAATTTTTCAGGCAATCTTTTTTTTTCAATGGGTGCTGTTAATTATATATGGATTTGTGCTGCACAGCCTTTACAAAATCTTATTTCATAGAATTTTACCTGTAGTTTCATTTATATATTTGATGAAGCCTATCTAGTCATCCATGAAGAATGTCTTTTTTTCTTCTTGAAAATTCTTATGCATTTAATTTTTAATATTTCAAATTTGCCAAGAGATTTTTCTTTTTTAAAGATCATGGATGGATATTTAATTTTATTATCATTTCTATTGAGAGGACTGTATTATTTTTCTCCATGAATATGCAGATAATATGTATTAACTTATCTTAAAAAATATAAAACCACACTTGCATTCCTATATTGAACTCAATTTTGGTGTGACAATTTTATTATTATTGCTCTTTTACCTTGATTGATTCAGTGTGTTTATATTTTGTAGACAAATTTGGCAGCTGAATTTAACCATGAATTTTAAGTTGTTACTTATGATGTTTTTGTTAGTTTTAAATATGAAGCCAATACTAATAAAATAATTGATGTTTTTATTTATTTATGTTCATTTAAATTTCTCATTTTTTCACATATTACTATATCCATTGATTCAGACAAAATTATGTATGTATGCATGAATGGATTTATGAGTATGTGTGTGTGATTTCACCAGTCATTAAGTCAACCCTCAAACCACATGGATAATCAAAATTTTAGCACTATTTGCAAAATATAAACTAATTTTCCCACACATGTAAAATGTAATCTTTAAAAGGTATATATCATGGATATATTTCTGTGTTGTTTTGTGTTTTGTTTAGCTTTCATTTATGGTAACTCTTTTAATAATTTTAGCTTTGTTAAAATCTTTTGATTGCTGGAAGATTAAGATACCATGTCAGTGTTTTTTTTTTTTTTTTTTTTTTTAGGAGTATCTTAGATGTTTTATAACACATCACTCTTTCATAAAATGGTAGATTGCCATATCCACTTACAGAGGGGAAGAAACATACAGGGATTTGAGCTGGAATTTAATTTTATCTAACTGTGTTTCTGTGTGAGCAAGATTCAACCTCTTTGTGATGGTGTGATTTTTTTTTCATAAATGTAAGTAGGACTTGTGTTCTTTAAATGTTTTTCACTGTTAACATTCTGCATGCTGTTTCTGTATTTTTTATTAATTTTGTTTAGAAATATTTTACAGTGCATGTTACTCTTTATAATGTGATTTAGAATAAATTATCTGTTGCTTAAAATGCATTTAATTTTTTTAACCATGTTACTGAATTTGAACCAATTTTAGTAACTAATTTGAATATTATTTAGTTTTCAAAAACGATACTACTAAATCTTTCATATAATTGCAGTTGGTTTTGCTTTTTGGTTGGTTCTTCCGTTTATGTGGTGTACTGTAAGGTTTTGAAAAAAGGTGAAGATAATGTGCATAACTTGAATTTTATATTACATCAAAATTAATGATGGTAACTCTTCCTTATTGAAAATAAGATTTGCTTTATGAGATTAGTTGGACACTTTTGTGAGGCAAAGCAATTCCTTCCTATTTATTTTACTAAGGTTTGCTTGTTAACAATATGAACATGTATGGAATTTCAGCAAGTTTTTTCTACATTTATTAAAATGAAATTTTTATTGATATACTACTACTGGGGTTGATGTTTGCATATAATCTAATTTTGTGCATCCCTGTTCCTAACATAAACTCAATCTAAACATGTTGCATTTGGTTATGCTTTACTTGACTTTGCTAATTTCATGTTTAGATTTATTATAGGTTTGTTCATGAATGGGATCTGTCTCTTTTTGTTACACGTAGGGTGATATTCACTTGTTTTCTAGTCTCTAAGTTGCTCTATAATCTGGAAGTAATCTTATCTTTGAAATTTGTTGAATTGGCCTGTAAAGATACCTGGGCTTGGGGTGTCATGAGAATATTTGTAACAGCTATGCTATTTTCTTGAATAATTATGATGCAAATGAGACTTTAGTTTTCTATTTAATCAATTGGGTAGTTTTCAGTGAATTAGTAAATCTCATTTAACTTTTCAAAATGGCAGACATAAAATTTGTTTATTGCATTCTTTATCTTAAAATCTCTATCATATGTTCTTTATCTCCTTCCTTCTTATTTTTACAGTTGCTCAAGCTTTTTTTTTTTTTTGGATCTGTCCAACAAATATTTGTCTTGTTTAGTCATTTTCCACGTGCATTTATTGTTGTTTAAAGAACCTACTTTGTTTTCTTTCATGCATTCGACAAGGAGCCACAGGCAAAGCATTATCTCAGGAAAACATTGACCAGTTTTTGGAAGCAAAGTGAATGGAGAAAAATTAGAAGCTTCACAAGACTGAAATGACTCCTGTTTCTAGATTCAAAGACTATTAAACACAATTGAAAAAGGATTTAGGAAAATAATGAAGCCTTTGGATTTCTTAGCTAGATCATAAGCCTGTTAATAATTATCAGGTCCAGTGTGTGACATTCCCACTCAAACCTGTTTTCTAGTTGGCTGTAAATGTTTTGATAATTTAAAATAATTATCTACCTCAATGGGCCAGGGAGAAAAAGAATCAGACTTTGGTGCTATTGTCTAAGAAGGAATTTTGGCAATGGTTCTACCAACCCGTGCAATTGATTGGAAGGAAATATGTCCAAAGCCTGTTAATTTTTTGAGGTGATTGTTTGTTCAAAGAAGTCCTGAGCTAAAATGAATAAATAAATAAAATTAAGAAAATGACTTAAGACTTAGAGCAACAAACTTTTGCATGGTGGATGGTTTGAAGAATAAAGAGCAGGTATTTCAGGAGGGAACTTGAGGCAGGGAGAACAAGGAGGTTTCCTTTGGCCAGGAATGAGGGTCTAATGAAAGAACTCTCCCCACAGCATTTCTCTTTCAGAAGGGGCTGTTTGTGGGATATTGTAGATACTGTTGGAGGTGCATTCAGTGTCTTCTCTCCGTCTCTCATTCATTGATTGAGTTATTTGGTTTTTGTTTATTTGTTTGTTTGTTTGTTTTTTGGTGCTTAGCTTTTTGAGTTCTTTATATACTCTAGAGATTAGTGCTCTATCTGATGTGGTGGTGTGTGGGGGGGTAAAGTTTCCTCCCAAGATGTAGGCTCTCTATTCACCTATTCAGATTGTTTCTTTTGCTGAGAAGAAACTTTTTAGTTTGAATCCATCCCATCTTTTGATTCTTGATTTTAATTATTGTGCCACAGGAGTCTTATTAAGGAAGCTGGGGCCTAATCCTATATGATGGAGATTAGGGCCCACATTTTCTTCTATTAGACACAGGGTTTCTGGTTTTGTTCCGAAATCCTTTTCACTTTGAGTTGAGTTTTGTGCATGGTGAGAGATAGGGGTTTAATTTCATTTTGTTGCATACAGATTTCTAGTTTTCCCAGCACCATTTGTTGAAGAGGCCATCTTTTCTCCAGTGCATGTTTTTGGTGCCTTGGTCTAATATAAGATAATTGGAATTTTGTGGGTTAGTCTGTGGGTCCTCTGTTCTGTTCTATTGGTCTACCAATCTGCTTTGGTGCCAATATCATGCTGTTTTTGTTACTACTGCTCTGTAGTATAATTTAAGTTCTGGTATAGTGATGCCACCTGCTTCACTCTTCTTGCTAAGGATTGCTTTAGCTATTCTGGGTCTTTTATTTTTCCAGATGAATTTCATAACTGCTTTTTCTATTTCTATGAAGAATGTCCTTGAGATTTTCATTGTACTTGCATTAAATCTGTATAGTGCTTTTGATGGCATAGTAATTTTGATAATATTAATTCTGCTTATCCAAGAGCAAGGTAGATCTTTCTATGTTCTAAGGTCTTCTTTGAGTTCATTGTTTAGGGTTCTGTAATTTTCATTGTATAGATCTTTACTACTTTCAGTATGTTGATTCCCAAGTGTTTTATTTTGTTCTTGAGGTTATTGTAAATGGGATAGTTATTCTATTTTCTTTTTTTGAGGATTTGTCACTGATATATAGAAATTCATTTGATTTATGGGTGTTGATTTTATAGCCTGTTACTTTGCTGAATTCATTTACTAGTTATAGAAGTTTTCTGGTGAAACTTTTAGGGTCTTCTAAGTATAGAATTGTATCATTGCAAATAGTGCCAATTTGAGTTCTTCTTTTCCTATGTGTATCCCTTTAATTTTTTTCATCTGTCTGATTGCTCTGACCAGTGTTTCAAGGATTGCTCTGACCAGTGTTAAAATAGAAAGAGGTGAAAGAGGGCATCCCTGTCTTGTTCCAGTTTTTAGAGGGACAAAAACTGCCTTCAATTTTTCTCCATTTAGAATGATGTTGGCCAGGGGCTTAGTATAGAGAGACTTTATGATGTTGAGGTACGTTCCTGTTATCCCTCGTTTTTCTAGTGTTTTGAACATAAAGGGTGCTGTATTTTGTCAAATGCTTTTTCTGCATCTATTGGGATAGTCATATGATTCTTATCTTTAAGACTATTGATGTGATGAATTACATTTATTTGATTTTCATATGTTGAACCAACCTTGCAACCCTGGGATAAGTCTCACTTGATCGTGGTGCACTATCTTTTTGATATGTTTTTGTATTCAGTTTGCCAGAATTTTATTAAGAATTTTTGCATCTGTGTTCATTAGAGATATTGGTCTGAAGTTTTCTTTTTTTGATGTGTCTTTGCCTGGTTTTGGAATCAAGGTGATATTGGCCTCAAAGAATGAATATGGATATGCTCCTTCTTTTTCTCTTTTCTGAAATAAATTGAAGAGTATTGGTATTACTTCTTATTTAAAAGATCTTGTAGAACTGGGCTGTGTATTCATCTGGTCCTGGGCTTTTCTTGGTTGGTAGGCTTCTGATGGCATCTTCTACTTCGTCTTTGGAAATTGATCTTTTTAAATTATATATATTATCATGATTCAATTTGGGCAAATCATATGACTCTAGAAATTTGTTGATGCCTTCGATATTTTCTATTTTATTGGGGTACAAGTTTTTAAAATAATTTCGAATTATATTCTGTATTTCTGTCATGATATTTCCTTTTTCATCACATATGTTACTAATTTGATATTTCTCTGTCCTTCTCTGTATTATCATGGCTGAGGATCTCTCAATTTTATTTATTTTTTCAAAGAACCAACCTTTTGTTCTGTCAATTTTTGCAATTGTTTCTTTTGTCTCAATTTCATTGCTTTCAGCTCTGATTTTAATTATGTCCTGTCTTTACTACTTTTATTGTAGATTTGTTCTTTATTTTCTAGGACTTTGAGATGTAATGTTAACTCATTTTTTTGTTGACTTTTTCTTCTTTCAAGGAATGAACTACATGCAATGAACTTTCCTCTTAGAACTGCTTTCATAGTGTCCCAGAGATTTCCATATGTTGTATCTATGCTCTCATTCACCTCTCAAAATTTTTAAATCTCCTCCTTGATGTCTTCTGCAATTGTTTATTCAATTTCATATTATTTAGTCTCCAGGTGTTGGAGTAGCTTTTATTTCTTATTTTATCATTGATTTCTAATTTCATTCCAGTATGATCTGAAAGAATTCAGGATAGTATCCCTACCATCTTATATTTGCTAAGAGTTGCTTTGTAGCATAGTATATGGTCTATTTTAGAGAAGGATCCATGTGCTGCTGAGAAGAAAGTGTATTCTCTTGTTGAAGGATGAAATATTGTGTTATTGAGTTCTACAGTTTCTTTATTCAGCTTTTGTTTTAAAGATCTAGCTAGTGATGAAAGAGGTGTGTTAAAGTCACCCAAAATTATTGTGTTGTGGTCTATTTGACTCTTGAACTTGAGAAGAGTTTGTTTGATGAATGTAGATTCTCCATTGTTTGAGACATATATATTTATAATTGTTAAGTCTTGTTGGTGTATGGTTCCCTTGAGCAGTATGTATTGTCCTTCTTTATTCTTTTTGATTGACTTTAGCTTGAAGTCTACTTTATTTGAAATGAGAATGGAAAACCCTGCTTGCTTCCGCCATCCATGTGAGTGGTTTGACTTTTCCCAACCCTTTACCTTCAGTTTGTGGATGTCTTTTCCTATGAGATGAGTCTCTTGGAGGCAGCATATTGTTGGTTCATTTTTTT